TTCCTCTGGTGAGATCGTGGAGAGCAGTTGTCAGAGAAGACGAGGCGGCCATTGATGGTCGACTGCTGCCTGGGCCAAATCCTGCTGCTGTCCCACTGCATTCCTTGCATTCCCTTTTCAGTCTTTTCAAGAACTCCCTTTTGGAAAGAGAGCGTGTTTCAAGCCCAGCAGAGGGAGCCCATGTCTTACGTTCCTCATAGGAATGATAAGGACAGAGCATTAAAGCAGTTTTAGGTATCAGATCTGTGTTTTTCATTATTATTATTATTAAGCCACCAGAGCAATACAGGTAGGGTAGTTCAGACATTTTCCTCACTTCTTTTTGGAGCGTGTGGCTGGCTAAAAGATGATTCTGTCAGGCCAAACAAAAGAAGAGCAAGACCCAGACTGGGCAGAGAATAAGTACTGAAACGGAATGACAACCTGGGGAGAGAAGTGTCTGAAAGTTATACAGTCACCTTGTTACCGTCTTTGCAAATTAACTCTTCTTGTTTCTTTTCATAACCTGCTAGTCTTATGCAGCTTTCTTTTCCACTTCTAACGCAGGAAGGGGATTTCATAGAATTCATAGATTTTATTTATTGTATATTTTTTTTATCCCATGTTCCCTCTACAGATCTCAAGGTTCTCCCCCTCCCCAAATAAAATGTATCTTTACAACAACCCTGTGAGGTTGGATTGGGCTTGAAGAATGTAACTATTCAGAAGATCACCCAGTGAGGTTGCATGGTTGTGTAGGGATCGTGCTGCTGTTGTAATCTTCAAGGTCACCTTTTGATCTCCTGCCTGCTTTGTGGCCCTGCAGAACACCATCTGGCAACTGCGCGCGTGCACACACACACACACCCCTTCTTGCTTCTCGTGAACACAGTTTTAAAGCCTTTTCTTTCTGTTACATTTTCCTTGGCAGGAACGTTTCCGACAATGCCATGTTGCAGTTGAAACCTTTCTTATACTGGACCTTCCTGGGCCTTTTTGATGGCTGTGTGTTTTTCTTTGGGACTTACTTTTTTTTCATGAACTCTTCTATAGAGAACAACGGAAAGGTAAGAGGAACAAAGCCTTTTAAACCAAAAATCAGGCTGTGCCTGGAGTTGCTGAATGGTGCAACTCATTCCACACACCCACGGGCTCATCAGATGTGTGTATCTAAAAGAGCATCTCAATGTCATGCAGGAAACCACTTTTGAAACTGTGTGATTGTGGCAGGAAATGTCTTTCTTTCTTTCTTTCTTTCTTTCTTTCTTTCTTTCCAAAAGAGCTTGTGAAACAGCATTCAGATCTACCCGGAATGAGAAAAAACCAAACATCCCATTGGATATAAGCAGACTTCTGTGTGAAATTCAGCCAGCTCTTGGGATGCTAGCCTCATTCCATTAAGCATTTGTGCCAAAGTGTACGTGAGATGAGAGATCTTTGTAAACGGCTTTGCAGGGTTTTGTTTTGTTTGTTTTTTTACACTCAAGCAGTGTTTAAATTTTATGGAATGAATGACTACAGTTTTTAAATTGGCAGTTGAAATTGGGGAAGTTTTCAACCATTTTTATTTCAAAATGGCATCCAGTTGCATCCAAACATAGACAAAAAGCTTGTTCCTTAGTCTCAGGAACCAGTGTGTGGAATTTGTTGACAGTATCTTAAGAGGTTTCCAAATGCATGCAGACATACAAACAACTTTCCAAACCATATTGGAAGCACTGAATAGCTGGGAGGTGGGATTGAGGATTAGTACTGTGTTGTCCACAGGAGGGTTTTTTAACCTTTCTCCTTGTGTTGTTTTCTCAATTAATTTCCCCCACCCCATGAGCGGAGTGGGCAGTGTACTCGTTTTTTTTGTTTTTGTTTTTTGTGTGTGTTTTTCTTCGTGCAAGTTAATAGAGAGAAATGGCATTGGGGGAGGGGGGGAGGATTACAAAACCTCTCCCCATGCGCCATGTCTTGATCTGAATGTTCACCTCCCCCAACCAACAGCTGCAATTGTCACTTCAAAAACCTGTGGGGAATCTTGCGTGTGCCTTTGTTTGCCCTCAGGTGACTTTGTGTAAATGTTAATTGCAAATTATGTATTTGACCATTGCAGTGATGCATCTCTTCTATCAAACCTGTTTATTTGTGGCCTCTGTGCAAGGGTTGTTCTTACTGCCAGTGAATCAAAGCCTCTTTCAGATTTTGCAGTGTTCCATAAACTCCGTTGTACAGTGTTTTTTTGGAAGCAGCAGTGGTTTGGTAGCTTCCAAAAGGGAGATCCACGTAGATCTACTTTGCTACATCCTTGGTGTAGTGGTTAAGAGCAGTAGACTTATAATCTGGTGAACTGGGTTCGCTTCCCCGCTCCTCCACATGCAGCTGCTGGGTGACCTTGGGCCAGTCACACTTCTCTGAAGTCTCTCAGCCCCACTCACCTCACAGAGTGTTTGTTGTGGGGGAGGAAGGGAAAGGAGAATGTTAGCCGCTTTGAGACTCCTTAGGATAGTGAGAAAGTGGGATATCAAATCCAAACTCCCCCTCCTCCTCCTCCTCTTCCTCCTCTTCTTCTTCTTCTTCTTCTTCTTCTTCTTCTTGCAAAGTTGCTTCTTGTTGACCATTTAATCACATTCCCTGGCTTTCTGCACCTTGACTTTGTGCCTGTTTGTCATTAAATGCAAAAGAATTTAAAAACACAAACAAAAAAACACTTTTTACATGTCACTTTCTGTTTTAATGTATGCATTCAGATCTTGACAGAATTTGGTAAGCAAATTGTCCCATTTGTTGCCATTGTTCTGACTTTGAAACACAGCCTGTTGCTTTTTCTTCGGTGCGGGTAGAGCCGAAAAATAAGAAAGAAGGAGATGCGTGAAAAAGGAGGGATAGCAGTCCACACATAAAGGCTTGTCCATGTGGGTGTTGAACCAGGCTCCTGTTTAGCACTGAACCAGAGGTTCAGGAATTGGATCCTAGGGACGGGATTCAACTTAAGTTGTTGTGTGAGCAGAGCAAAGTCTGCTCACGCAGTGGGACCCCAACCCTCAGTGTGCCCTCTGCACCCCCTAAATCTGCTTTGGAGAGTGGTAGGGGAGCTCCACTTGGCACCATATTGAATTCCACACCCCATGAAGGCAGGGGTGATGCAGACTGCATCATCCCATGATCGAAAAACGCAGATCAGTTGTTGTTTTTTAATTTGCCCTCTCCTCGACTGAGTGCATGTTTGGGAACATTACTCAGAATCCTCTGCAGAGACTGTACCTTCCTTGCAGTGCCAGTTCTGTCGTACACTCACAAAGCATTCTTTCATCTAGACCCCAACATTCCTTTGTGGAAAGGAATGCTAACCTTGCTTCCTCACACCTGCGGTTGTTTTGTTTTTTTAAAGCAGGAGACCACTATGGTTGCATTTTCTTTTCTTTTTTCCCTTTCTAAAAAAAGAACCATTGAGCAAATTGCAGTAGATAGCCATAAATGTTACTTGTTTGATTTTGTTGTGCTCTGCAAGGTGTTTTTTTGGCTTTGTTTTGGTTTTGTTTTTTGGTTAGGGGAAAATGTTCTATTGATTATTGCAGTATCTTGCTCCTGTGGGGTGGGGATGAATTATTCAGTTCATTGTAATCATCTATTTAATTCCTCGCCTGCTGTCTTTCAAAAATCTGGACCAGGCAAATATCTCAGCCAACTCTGTTTTTCAGATGTCTGGGAACTGGAGTTTTGGAACAATGATTTTTACTGTATTGGTGTTCACCGTCACTCTAAAGGTTAGTGCCCTCGTTTGAATTTTTTAAAAAGCCACCTCTCAATTTAGTTGTACAGGGGAGTTTCTGATACTGAGCTTGATGTATTGATGTTACTGGCAGTGATTTTCTTCCTATTGCTCCAACTGCTCTAGTAATTAATAACTATGCCCTACAACATATTGTATCTAAAGCTCCCCGTTCTCTTTTATCTCTTTCTCTTTTTCAAATACTCCAGCTGGCATTAGACACTCGGTTCTGGACGTGGGTGACCCACTTTGTCATTTGGGGTTCTTTGGTCTTCTATGTGTTTTTCTCATTCTTCTGGGGAGGAATCATTTGGTAAGCATTTTATTTTCAATTTATATTATTGTGCTACAGCATAATCTGCACCGATTGCACCCCAGATTTAAGTGTACAGTATTTGCATATTTGGGGGAGGGGTGGCTGTTGGGTGTTTGTTTTTATTCTTATTATGTATTTTGTGGTTTTATATCTTGATTTTACTCTGTGAACCACCCTGAGACCCCCAGATATAGGGCGGTATATAAATTCAACTAATAATAATAATAATAATAAATAATAATAATAATAATAATAATAATAATAATACCAAAGGTTTAGTGGGGGGGGAAATTGGGTGAGAACAAATACCTTAATAAATATGAGGTGCCTCCTTTAACATAATGAGATTGATGGTGGGGGGGGGGGGTTATTCACTGCTACTAAAAATAGATTTTAAAACTTTCTAGGGACATGGGAACATAGGAAGTTGCCTTCTGCTAACCAAGGTCATTGGTCCATGTAGCTCAGCATTGTCAACAATGGCTAGCAGCGGCCTTCTCAGACAGGGGCCGCTCTTTTACACCCCACCTGGAAATGCCTCCTGGAACCTTCTGGATGCAAACCCGGTGCTCTCCTACCACTGAGCTATGACCCTTCCTCAGGACGAGGTAGTGGGAAGACCTATGCTCAGACTCTCACTTGGCCATGAAATTCGCTAGCTGACCTTGCTAGCGAATGAATCCACCTACAGCACAAGATTTCTGTGGGAATAAATTCTGTGTGTAGGGAGTGGCCCTGAGATCCAAAGGGAAGAGTCTGTGCCTTGGTGGTAGAGTACATGCTTTGCATGCAGAAGGCCTCGGATTCAACCCCTGGCATCTCCAGTTGAAAGGGTCAGATAACAGGTGCTGGGGAAAGACCCCTTCCTGAAATCTTGCATAGCTGTGGCTAAACAAGAGTGGACAGCACAGGTCTTGGTGAACCAGTGGCCCAACTCAGTGTAAGTTAGCTTCATAGGGATAGCTCAGCTGGTAGAGCACAAGACTCCAAATCTCAGGGTTGTAGGTTTGAGCTCCATGTTGGGCAAAAAGAGTCCTTCACAGCAGGGGGTTGGACTAGATGCCCCCTGTGACCCCTTCCAACTCTGGTCTGTGATTCTATGTGCACAGATGGCTGGAGTATAAAATGCATTACCGTATTTTTCCGTGTATAACACGCCCCCGTGTATAACATGACCTCTATTTTTGGGGACTCCAAATAAAGAAAATGGGGGGAGATTGCCCAGAATTGTTAAGCTTTTTTGGGGGGGGCTGCACAGATTTGTGGTTTGGGCAGGGATTGCCAAAAATCACTCACCCGCCTGACCGATGCTGAAAATCGCTCACGTCGCCAAAGCCACCAATTGTCTTGCTGCCAGCAACCACCGATCGCCCGCCCAATTGCCGCAGCAGCTGCCAATCGACCGCAGGCATGGCCACAGCCACCAATCACCCACCCAATCACTGCTGACAGTCTGCTTGCGACAGAAACCAATCGCCAGTCCCCCATATGCACTATGTACAAGTGAACCTCCCCAATTTTAAACTTGAAAAAATAGGGGGAAAATATAGTCTAATACACAGAAAAATATGGTAATCCTATATTATTATAGGGGCCTCAGGTCTCCCAAGTGCCAATCCTTGCATACGCATGCATAGTTTTTTAAAGATTCACCTGTCTACTTACAATCCCAGACCGCTAAAATAACAGTAGAATGACAGGCCTCGTTAGAATCACAAATATTGGCACCAGAGCCTACAAACAGCCACTGGAACTTAAGACACCGAAAACAAACTAGCAAAAGATTTGTGTGGCCAAAATGGCATGATCCATGTTCAATGAAGGGGCTATTGACAGATTTGAGAGAACAAGATTGGGGGGGTGTGTTGCAATGGCTCAGTGAAGGTCCAATGGGCACTGGGAATACTGAGTGACTGTTTAGGAGGGGCATGGAAAACCAGGTGGGTAGGAGGGAGAATGTAATGGAATAGCCTGGGAGAGGGCATGGCCGGCTGGCATCATGAACTGGAGAACTCCATGCTACTTTCTGTTGCTTGTAATAAGTTTTCACATTCATATTACAGTGGTTACATACACTTCAGGTTACATATGCTTCAGGTTACAGACTCCGCTAGCCCAGAAATAGTACCTCGGGTTAAGAACTTTGATTCAGGATGAGAACAGAAATTGCGCTCCAGCGGTGCGGCAGCAGTGGGAGGCCCCATTAGCTAAAGTAGTACCTCAGGTTAAGAACAGTTTCAGGTTAAGAACGGACCTCCGGAGCGAATTACCGTATTTTTTGCACCATAGGGCGCACCGGACCATAGGGCGCACCCAGTTTTTAGGGGGGGAATCAAGAAAAAAAATATTTTTCCCCCAGCCTCAAAGAGCAGCGTACAGGCTGCGCACAACCTCTCCCTGCCGGAGGGGTTGTGCGTGGCTATGGCGCAAGCCAAGGCAGCGAGCAGGATGGATCCCGCTCACTGTTTTGGCTTCCCCTTTAGCCCCGTGCAGCCTCTCCCTCCCGGGAGACGCTGCACAGGGCTTTCCTGGCTTTGCTGGGAGGTGGGGGGATTCCCTCACCTCTCCCAAAAGCCCGCAGAAGCTGCGCAACCCCTTTAAAGAGATCTCGGCTTCTCCTGGCTTTCCTTTTTCTCCTGTGGAAAAGCCCGCAAGAGCGCACAGAGCTTGTGTGCGGCTCTTGGGGGCTTTTCCCGCCTGCCTCCTCCCTGCATTTGCTCCATAGGACGTACACACATTTTCCCTTGCTTTTTAGGAGGGAAAAAGTGTGTCCTATGGTGCGAAAAATACGGTAAGTACTTAACCTGTGGTACCACTATATAGTTGATTTATATATCATAAATCTTGATGCTTTGGGATAAGTAAAAGAATGAGGCAAGCCTGTTTGGTTGAGGGGTGGGTTTTATTTTTGTTTTGTTTTTTTAAATAAATCTAATGTGTGCCTTTCTTTCTCCCTCCTTCTTTGTTGTTCCGGCCAGGCCTTTCTTGAAGCAACAAAGAATGTATCATGTCTTTGCCCAGCTGCTGACTTCCGTCTCAGTCTGGTTGGCAATATTTTGCCTGATCTTACTTGCCCTTCTCCCCGAGATCCTTGTCCAACTCTTTAAAAGCATGAAGAGAAAACGCCACCAGGTAAGGAGCGAACGGAAGAAGCCTGACACTTCTGAACCCGAAGAGTGGATCCCCCTCTTCTAAGCAATCTCTTTGGCAGGCAGGCTGTTTGGAACATTTGGAAAGCTCTGCCCAAATTATCTAGCAGTGCCTCGTAGACAGCCAATGGCTCTTTGTCGAGATCAGCAAAGAGGATATCTCTGGGATATGGAAGGGCAGCTGGCAGTGCATAGCAGACAACAGCTTCATCCATCTAGCCTGTCTAGACCTGAACTCATAGAGGCTGGACCAAGACGAGAGAGAACACAAGCAGGGGTTTCCAGAAAGAACTTTCCCCCCAAACTCCAAATCAGACCCAGACTCCATATTTTGAGGTTTTCAGCTGGACCTTTGCTTAGGGCTTCCTGCATCTCTTTCAGCAGTTGTGGAAGGTGGTGTTTTGTTTCTGTTTTTTAAGAGTTGAGGAGATGTCCAATTTCTTTATGTCCCTTTATGTCTGATGAGGGCTGAATTGCGTACCTGTGTGAATCTGATACTGCAAGAAGCCATTTGTGCTGGAACCATAAATCCCATAGCATACCTGTTAGGACCAGCAGGAAGGGAGCTTGGTTTTCCTCTGTGATGCTTAACAAGCACTAAACCCCAGCCGTCTAAGTCCCTCACTTGGGCTAGTTGAATAGTACTTAGTTCTCAGTTTTTCAAAAACACTGCTAAGTGTCTGCTGCTCAGAAGCTGCGACTTTGACCCACTCACCCCCAGCAGACACCATCTATGACAGACTGGGCCTGCCAGCTGAATCATCCTTTGTGTCAGTGAGCCTTGGCAACAGTCGCCTGCTGCAAATGTACCTCCCCTGGAAATCCTAGCCATGGGTGAGGAAGTGTGTGATCTGTGAGCTCATAAGCTCCGTACTTCCCCCTTGAGCATAAGTAGCCCCTCCCTGCCTTTCTAGCCTTAAACCTGGATTAATGCTGGTCAACCAGCTTGGGAGGGAATCCTGGATAATGCTAAGCACTGTAAGTGCCAGTGCAGATGGTAAACTGGGATTGCAGCTGGGCAGGGAACAGGTAGCCTATTTCTTAGTTGAGAGACCAGCAGTATTACATCTGCATCAGAACTCCCATATAATATTTGTTTCATATGGTTCTAGCCCATAAACCATTTCGTGAATTGCACGTCTCCCTTTTCTTACTTTTCTTTTTAAAAAATGCTGGAGTTGGCATTGTTTTAACAAGGATTTGGTGAGTTCTAAGTGATGCCTTCAGAAATATTTTCCGTTGGTTTTTTTTATACAGCGTGTTGAAAAATGTTGCCGTGTGCATTATGTTAGATTGTACTTTCATGCGGTTTTACAGTAAACTTTATACACAATTAACATGTCAAAGAGTTGTCTTTGCTAAAGTATAAAAAAGGCACAACAGCATTATTATTAAAGTACCGCAAAATAAATTGTGGAGGCTGTAGACGCCTTTAATGGGCAGCTGTCAGTCGAAGGAGTACTATGCAAGGTAGCTTTGCCAGCAGAGGGTAGTGGCTAAAACTGAACAAAGGTTTCCAGTTCAGACTGCAATTTCACAGGACAGCCTTCAGCTCAGCTCCCCACCCGTATGTTTTTGGGGTGATTGGTAAACACATCAGTGTGATGTGAGGTGCTTTGAACACTCCACAGTATGTTTTTGTTGTTGTTCTTGCCCTTGACACATTTGAATCCACTAATCCTGCTGTGTTTTCTAACTGGCAGATGGTGGGAGCGCCAACATTTCCCTCTTTCAAGTTACATTAACATCATGTTTAGGGGCAAACAGTAGGCAGGTCCCCTGACAGTTTCCTAAAATGGTTTAAAAGGGAAAGTGGGGAAATTGCATCAGGGTTCCAAGTCTATGTGGAAAGTGGGCAACCTTTCCACATAGTTGCCTCTCCAGGCAGAGGGTTTTTTGTGGGGGACACAGGGCATTGTGTCCTTCTTGGCTGTTCTCCAGTGGCATGCTCCAGCACTGCTAGTCCCTGCTTCAAACCACACTATCCAGCCCATGGAAGGAGACAGGACCAGGCAAGAGCACTGCACCAGAAGTGGTGGGGTCGATGAGCAGGCAAGTTGCAAACCCTGTAAGGGTGAATGGCCAAATAGGACTGCAAAGTTGTTGCACAGCAACATCCCTGCACCCTGTAGAGCTGGGGTGGGGACCTGTGACCCTCCAGATATTCCTGACTCCCACCAGCCCTGCTGAATTGGGAGGAATAGATTGTTTAGTGATTTTGGAGGTCAGATTAAAAACTTTCCCCCCAAAGGCATGGATATAATACAGTTATATCTTGGTTCTCGAACGCCTTGCGATTCGAACGTTTTGGCTTCCAAACGCCATAAACTCGGAAGTGAATGTTCCAGTTTGCAAACTTTTTTGGAAGCTGAATGTCCGATGCAGCTCCTGCAGCCAATCGGAAGTTGTGCCTTGGTTTTTGAACGTTTTCAGAAGTCAAACGGACTTCCGGAATGGATTCCATTTGAGAACCAAGGTACGACTGCAATCTGTTAAGGGCATCACAGCGTGTCCAGTTCACAAAAGAAAACCTGGTGATGATCAGACCTGCCCCCTTCATGAAAAAGGCAAAACACTGAAACACACACAAACAAAAAGCCAGGCATCACCCCATCTTGATCCACCAGCCCAAAGGAGGGGTTGTGGGAGTGGTTGGGTGCAGGGGTATCAAGGATGGATGCCAAAAACTCCAGAGAGATCAGTTCTAGTGCTTTATTAAAAGAAAGGTGTAGATTTACAGGAAATCAGCCTGCCAGCCTTTACAGATATGGAACTGTCACCGCAGCAAGGAGATGGCTTGTCCGTGCCCAAGCAAACCTGCATATGTTCCTTTATACACAAAGTAGCATACGTCACTTTGGCCAGGACTTCCCATCA